AAAAATTCACACATCCAAATTCTTTATGAAAAGGATAATATTTAAAAAATTGGTTTTCTTGAAAAATTTTTCAAAAATAAATTTTTTGATAAAAAAATTTTTTTTTGAAAATGTGCCATCTCAAAAAAAAAAATTAAAAAAAGAACACAATGGTTGCTCTGAGTATGGCGCAATATTTAAGTAGAGTATTATGGGGTGCACTCTACAATAATTTGAGTTATGATATTTTTTTTTACAACGAAGTGGAGTAAAAAAAGTGCAAGTGAAAGTTTTAAGCTACTGGAAAATCGTGTTGATTTTTAAAATTTTTATGCTGACGGCCTTTTGAACTTTTTTCTTATGGAAAACGGGGTTTTTTCAAATAAATTTAAAAGAAAAATTTACGCCAGTTTTGCAATCGCTTAAAACTTGCACTTTACTATCCTAAAATTTAATGGGCTTTAAAACTGCATACTCAAAAAAATTCGAAACAAATAAAAATATTTGTAAATTCGTAATTTACTCGTTTTACTCAACTTCGGTGTAAAAAAAAATTCATAACTCAAATTATTGTAGAGTGCACCCCATAATACTACATTTAAATGTTGCGCAATACTCGGAGCTACCATTAAGGTTTTTTTTAAATTTTTTTTAGATGGCATATTTTCAAAAACGAATTTTTTTATCAAAAAATGTGCATGAGAAAAATTAAAAAAAAAAGTTTTAAAAATATTTTTTTCTCCCCGTTCTCGAGATATCTGGAAAACTATTAAATCGATTTTTTTGCTCAAATTTCATATTTATTTATTATTTATTTTTATTCATTAATCCACAAATGAAACACATGAAGTGTGAACCCCGTCCATTTCGGTGTGGAACGCCCCACATACAAGTTTACATTTGCAGCTGACATTTGCAACAATCATGCTACCTTGCCACTTGCAATTGAATCGAATTTTCCATTGCATGTTAGCACGATGTTGCACGAGAGTCATGGCCACCATGTGCTGCTTGTTTTTCATTTTTTGCAATTTTCTGGGATTTTTCATATATGTACATAAGTATGTACTACAAATGTATTTTTCAATGTTAGCAACCAAAATCTATTGGCGAAATAAAAAAGGAGCACGTAAGCAAGTGTAGTGCCGGCATAAATGAAATATGAATGCGGTGCTGGTTGAGAAGACGTGCCCTTATGAAGTTCCCAAATTGGCTTCAACATTTCCTCTTAGATTTTGAAATTTGAAAGGAATTTTTGTTTTTGTTTTCCGCCTCTCAAACTTATGTAGCTTCAGCTGAGCTACATACTATCCACCAATATACTCGTATATACATATGTAGTAGAGTAGTGTACACACACTCACCGTAAGTGTCTCAATTGAAATCGAAATTTTCCGATAAGGTCAATGGAAAGTTGCCATTAAAAATGAAAGATGTACAGTTTTAGAATATTGATGAAACTTGTTTTAAAGTTTTGTTGCATTCGCTTGGCAAGCGGTCTATTTGTATTGGAGAAGAGACAAAGGATTTGGCTTCATTTCGTGTTTTAAGTGGCATAATGAAGGAGAATGTACTACTGGGGCGTTTTGCTTTTGTAGTGCAAGTTATAAGCTGGCATCTTTAGGACAAAACAATGTGCAGCTTTATCTTGACTAGACACGAGGGGCGTGGCCAACGGAATTTTTCATACTGCATATCTCAGGAAGTATATGTGGTAGAGTATTGGAACTTGGTATGCCACCTCTTAAGAAAATTAAACCCAACTTGAATTAAGGGAACTTTTTTTTTTAAATTTGTATTACAATATGGATGTCAGATGAAGTTGTAGTTTGAAAATATTCAAAATAAATAATAATAAAAGAAAAAAGGGTTGCCACCTGTTTGATAAGTAGATAAACTTTAAATTTATTATTTGCAGGTTACAAGTAAAATAAAATATTAAATAATATTAAAATTAAATTAATATAATAATAATAACAACATTAATATTAAATAAAAATTAAAATACGCCACCTACTTGAATAATTAAATTTTATTTGACTTAAGGGAATTGGGTAAATGGAATGTGTATCACAGTACTGATGCCAGACGAAAGAGGTTTAACAAGGTTGTAATTTGAAAATAATTTGAAAAGCGTTGCCCCCTGTTTGAAAAGTCGAATTTAATTAAATCTTACAAAAGTTAAAGTACCAAACGCAAGAGTTTAGATATCTTTAGTTTGAGCATGTTGAATTTTCTGAGGTGTTTGAAGAGGGTTGCCAACTGTTCTTAAAAGTAAACTCAAATAAAATTGTTTAAGAAGCTAACAAAAAATATTACAATATAGGTATCAACCGAAAAGGTCTCGAAAAGGCTTTATTTCTCAGCTACCTGTACCAGGGTTGCCATATGTGTCAAAAAGAAAATTCAACTTTAATTACGGGAATTAGGTCATTAAAATAAATATAATATGGGTGTCGGACGAAAGAGGTTTAAGAAGGTTGCCACCTATTTGAAAAGTTAAATTCAAACTATTTAATAATCGAAATGATTTTGCCAAAGTCTTCATTTCTAAACTACATGTAGAAGGGTTGCCACCTGTTTAAAGCTTAAATTAGAAGAATAGGTCAATTGAAAATATATCACAAGAAAGATGTTTAAGAAAGTTTTAGTTTGAAGTATGTATGCTGAGTTTTAATGGAATAAATTACACCGACACGCAGAAATTTTATATGTAGACTCAGCGAAGCGGTTGAGGGCTATCTATTTATAATAATTGGCAAATTTTTATCGGAATTTCACAGTTAAAAAAAAAAAACAAAAACAAATTTGGAATTTGTTTCTCTATGTAGTTTTATAGCCCTTAAAAATAGATTTTGCTCATACGTCATATGAAAAGAAATTCGTAATACCCTCCGCAAAAAAATACCAACGGTAGCTTTTAGCCACTTGAAATTTGCACTTTCTTATAACTGTAATAAAAATGTATACTCAAAAAAGTTTAAACTATTGCGAATAATGTATCAGTTTTGTATGTATAAAGTTTGAGAATCGGATTTACATGGTATTTATTATAAAACATCTTTTATTTATATAAACAATTAATGAATATTAAATAAACAAAAGGAAAACTGTCAAAGTCAGGATCAAAATAAGATGCTATTCAAGTGACCGGCACTGTATAAAGCGGCCAAACTATTTTATAAAATTTAACAAGCGTTAAATAACTTTCACAAAAGGGCTTTAGTTTTCGCACAGCATCAGCTAGAGGGTCTTTAAGGCGATATTTAAGCTTAGTTTCCGGCGCACAACAAAAATTTCAAGAAATATGTTTCATTATTTCTGTTGCTTGAAAAAGTACTTTGTCGTTGCTGTAAATTTTCTTTAAGTAATTGAGAGCTGCAAACTAATTTAAGAAGTTTTGATAGAAAAAATATTCTTTTATACTTTTGTAGCGTTTTTTTACACTGATTAAATTAAGTGAAATTGTAACCAGTTTTGGCTATTTTTCTTTTGTTTATTATTGTTTTATAAAAGTATGGTGTGCCAATCCACTTTTCAAACTTTGTTCAAAAATTATAAAATTTCATTAAACTTTACCAAATTCCACCAAAAATTACATACTTTATATCCCATTAGTAGGATAAAGTGCAAATTTCAAGACGACAGAAATCGTTGATGCAGTGAAGTCTGACTTCTTTTTAGTGCCTATTAAACAAAGAAGAGGGCGGATCAAAATTTCTAATTAATTTACTTGGTGTGGCATTATAGGCACCGAACTGTCAAAGAGCTGAGAAAGAGATACAAAAGCAAAACATTTCCGGATCTTGCTTAACTTGACGCGTTGAGTAATCTTTGGCAATGTCTTACGATAAGTTAAGTCAAGCTAAGTTAATTTAAGTATGCAATGAAGGTACTGTGAATGTAAACCAAAAAAGGTTTTTTTTGAAAAACCGATTTGTGCAAGTTTGCCATTCGCTAGTACTAGGGTTAAGACTAAAAGCACACATGCAAGTGGAGAGTAAGAGTAGTAGCGAATCAGAGGGTGATGTGGAGCCAGCCTATGTTTTTTGGAAGCGTCGTCGATAACACTGTACGACAATTTTATGACAAGACAAACCAGCCCAACCTTCACCAATATTTTCTGAAAGTATACATATCCAGTAATAAAAAACTCGATGGATTTGCAAAAGTTAGCTCGCATTTATATTTTATGGCCTACTAAAGTTTTCATGTCATGTTAAGACATACATATATGTATAATAAAATTTAATGGGAAATATTTTTGTAGAATATTCTAATCCATTAGCTCCCGTCTGAAAAGGTCGTTTTGACCCTTACTTCAAGAAACCCCGTAAAAACCAAATTTGGAAGTTCGCTAGAAGATTGATACATTTGTAGAAAATTATTACTCGGTTTGTTTTAATTTTATAGAGACTTTTATGTTTGGCATGAAGTTTTTTATCCAAAAAATAATTTTCTACAATATATCAATCCTCCAACAAACCTTCCCAATTTGCTTTTTGCGGGGTTTCTTGAAGTAAGGGAGCTAATGGCTTAAAATGGTCTACAAAAACATTTGCCATGCAATTTTATTATATATGTCTTAACCTTTAATTTCGCTCAGACAATACTTTTAATAAGTAAAGGCATCGAGTACATGGCGGTATCGGACGAACACTACACATACAAATACGCAACGTACCCATTCCGACAGCTTTACATATACATAACTATAGTCGTGTTGACGTTACTCATACGCCCAGTCGAATATATGTATTTAGTATGGAAAAGCAAGTAGAGTTCTTTTCTTTTTACTGAAGTCTTGTAATTTTTGTGCAAATTCAATTTTGCAGACAAACAAATTGGCAACAAAGACGCCTTTTTATTTACGTTGGCACTTTTTGCTAATCATGCTGTGTTGCTAAATAATTATTTAAGTACCCCTATGTATACATACAATAATAAATCACAATTAAATTTAATTACATACTAAATCTTAATGATTGATCGGCATTTAATTGAAAATTTATAATACATACCGCTTAATGTAAGGCATAGAGCGAAGAGTAGCGTGAAAAGTGACTTTTGTAGGGACTCCATCTTCGTTTTCGATTTCCTTTCTTTCGGCAACAAGTTTCGAGTCGCTCAGTTGATGCTGGAGGCTGTTGATAGCTGTGTGGAGGCGCCACTTGAAAGTCCTTCACTCAAGACGTTTAATATGCAAATGCGCTTCACTACTTATTTGCTTCTTACTTTCTGGCTATTGTCACTTGGAGCAAAACAATGTGCTTATGTGTGTGGGTGGGTGAGTGATTGTGAGATATAATCAACAACAAATTGCACATAAAAACTTGGATGGCGGTTACGTTGATTTTCAATTTTCGTTATGCTTTAGACATACATATGTATATTTAAGTCCGTATCTACTATGGGGTATTCAAAGAGTTTGTATGTATGTATTTATTATTCGTTTTCTCTTAGCTTTGCTCTTCTAAGTTAGATTATATCACAGTGTGAGGGGCGAATTAGCACATTCGTTTTTTTCCCTTATTGTTATTATATATTTCTTAAGTTTATTTTAATGTACAATTGTTACGCTTTTACTATACAATTACTTAGATGGCATATGTGTACGTATGTATGTGCAATAGATAAATATAATTTTTTGTGTCTGTACAAATGTCAATTTAATTAAATACACTAAATCTTATTAAAGCACAAAAGCGCTACATATGTAAGTATGCAGTTATGCGTGGAATGTAATGACGACACTAACTATCTCGAAACGCTCATGTGCCTCAGCGGCGTGGCTGCTCATATGGCACGGAGGTGCTCGCCGCCCTTGCGCCAGACTCTAACTTTCGTTGTCGATTTTACATTTGCATTGGTTACGGTTGTGTTGTGTTTTGCATGCCGCCACCCGCGTTCTGTGACACCCACTCGCGATAAATTATTCAATTCCTATAACAAATTATATGCCAACAATACGAGCACCACAGCAGGCGACAGACAACCTATAGAAATCGCTGTTTATTTGTTAGTTTCCTTTGGTGTAGTTGTTTTTATAATTTTATAGTTTTTTTTCGTCACTGTTTGTTTGTTGGGTTTTTTTGTTTTCTGTTTCTTGGCATTGATTCTATGTTTTCACGGCGCGGCGCGTTAGAATATTTGTTAATTTTTTTTTTTTACATTAGCAATATGCTATAAAGCTTATTCTTATTTGTTTTTTATATTGCATTTCCAAAGCGGCGCTGTGCGGCTGCGGTTTTGTTGGCTGCTCCTTTTTTTTTGTTGCTATTAATTTTCAATGGAGCCACTAAAAACCAGACACTCACCGCCATACAGTCCGTAGTTATAATTTATACTAAATAATTTGTTGTGCTGCTTTTTGGCACGTCAACTTACAACAAAATTCTCTATCGAGTGAAAGGCATCGAGGATAAAAAACATTATCCTAGCAACTGCTGTACTATTTTGCCGTTATAATGCAGCTGTGAGCCGACCGAATTTTTTTAAGACAAAAAAAAATTCAAAACACACGAAAGAATCGACATACTCATAAAACTATGGGCCAAATATAGTAAAACTGCGTTTTTAGTTTTTCATTCTGACGTCAGGATTTTTTTCAAAGATTTTTGCAATTTTGAAGATATGAATAATTCAAAAAATTATTTAAAAAAATCAGTGCAATGTAGAATAATAATATGGGTACCAATTGAGAGAGCAAATTCTTTAGAATTTAAAAACAATAAAGTTGTTTGGTTTGCAAAGACTAATAGGTATTGAAAATACGCTTTTTATAAATTTTATATTTTTAAGTTGATAAAGTCTGCAGGTCGAATATCGATGGTGAGGTCGTGTTTATATTATTTAGTCCTCAAAAAATAATTTTTTCAAAAATAAATATTGAAAATTTTCGAGGTATTTAAGGAAAAAATGTGTAAACGTCTTCTTCCATACCCATTCGTCCTTATGCACCAAAAAAATTGTTCTGCTATAATTCTGCAGAATTTTTTCTTTTATATGATACCCTTATTGTTATTTTACATTGCACTAAATTTTTTTAATAATTTTTTGAAATAATCATATTTTTTAAATTTCAAAGTCCGTTTTAAAAACTTCTGACGTCAGAGAGAAAAACTAAGTACGCAGTTTTACTATAATTTACGCGTAGTTTCGCGAATATATTAATTTTTTTGGGTGTAAAATTTCCTATCGCATGGTGTAACAAAAATTTGCTCCAGTTTTTGCTGAAAGATAAATAAAAGCTTTTTAGCGCATAATTTCAAAAATGCCAAACTAGAAAAGCCTAAAATCATACAGTGGTCTCTAATTTCGATTGAGTTAAAACAGTACTAGAATAGGGTAAATTGTAGTGGTTGTCCCAGAGAGGTGAGAAACTAGGAAAATTAAGAGATTTTGTGATAGCACGTAAACTAAACGCAGACCAATTGTTTAGTCGACGAAACGCCGTTAGCCGATTTTGAAATTTGCATGCGGCTTGTTACAACGCCACAGATCTGCTCCGGGGTTCCATCTTTGCCTCGCGAAGGCTAGGCAGTCTACAGAAAGTGCTCATCCTCCTGGCAGCTGCTGCAGGAGGAATCAGGTAATATTCCAAACCTTACCGCGTGAGTACTAATCGCACAATGGCCTGTCAGAACTGCCACGAGTAGCGAGAGCTGAGACTTTGCGAGCATAAGGAGCTCCTCCTTTCACCGCCCCTGGCTCACCTTACACCATAAGGAATTTGTAATAACGCATGCCCTGGTATTAACCCAGCGCTCCTGATTAGAAAATACTCCGACGCGGTTTATAGAGAAGTCAAACATATCCCCACCTGTTTCGAGCACACCACCAATGCGACCAGGACCCTGATCGCCACCTGACTATCCGAGTATATACATTTGTATTAGCCTCCGTAACTGACTTCACACTCTTCCTCAGTAACTCTACCACTAACTGTGGGCCACGTGAAACGTTTTCAGTATTTTTTGTTTTATCGGGCACATACTAATTTTGTTTAGTTGCGATCATTGAATCATAAAAAAACTAACGGAACTCCT